CAAAAAGATAAAAATTAGAATTTACAAAAGTATAATATTGCCTGTGGTTCTGTATGGGTGTGAAACTTGGTCTCTGACATTAAGGGAAGAACATTGACTGAGAGTGTTTCAGAACAGGGTGTTGAGGATAACATTTGGACCGAAGAGGGATGAAGAGACAGGAGGTTGGAGAAAACTGCATAATGAAGAGCTTCATAACTTGTACTCTTCTCCAAGTATAATTAGAATGATCAAATCAAGGAGGATGAGGTGGGTAGGTCATGTAGCACGAATGAGGGAGAACGGGAAGGCATATAGGATATTGGTGGGAAAGCCAGAAGGAGAGAGACCACTGGGAAGACCAAGGCGTAGGTGGGGGGACAATATTAAAAAAGATCTTAGAGAGATAGGATGGGATGGTATGAATTGGATTGATCTGGCTAGGATAGGGACCAGTGGAGGGCTCTTGTGAACATGGTAATGAACCTTTGGGTTCCATGACATGCTGGGAAATTCTTGAGTAGCTGCAGATTTGGCTTCTCCTCTAGAAGGGCTCAGTTCCATAAGTAAGTAAATATTAGTAGATACAGAAGTGGCGGAAGGTGGCAGCACAGCTTGGCACTACTCTCTTTTTGAACTTTGACAATCCCCGTCCCCCTTTTGGTTTCCGTTATCTTCCAGAAAATTGAAGAATCGTCCTTTTGCGTTATGTGTCACACAGGGTCCAAGTTGTAACTGGCAGAAAAATATGGTTGTTGATTTCCACACTGTGACTCATTGTGAGCTAGAAGCAGACGTGTGCGACAAGTGTGAGCGTACTGCAAGACAAGAAGTACTGGTAGAGAATACCTGATGGTGAGGGCTGTAAAAGTGTGAGAAACATACTGGAGTCTATGTTGAGCTCGACTCTGTAGACAGACTGAGATAATTAAAGAGATGGTGTTTCTTTCTAAATCTAGAGGCAGTAAGAGAGTAAATGCGCCTGAATTGTTAATATGCTAGGCACATTACAGTTTGAGGAACTTACCAAACAAACTACATGGCATCACAACTCTGAAGAATATAATCTTAATGTGTTTGTATTTATCAATAACATTGTGCCCAAACATTATGGTTGACAGGAGCATTATTACTTCACATTCAGGAGGTCCTCAGTTCAAATCTCAGTGCCTGACTGAACTTTTCTTTTTCAGTCCCTGCATGCAGAAATGATGTGTCAATGTTTGGTAGTATAATATAAATTACAAGAAGACCATGGCCATATATGAAGACCAGGAGCATCTGCAGTGGTACCTTTCTCATGAACTATTACAAACTCTGAGTCACTAATGAATGAACAGCACTGGAGTAGTATTTGGAAAGCTGTCCTCTCTTACATAAGGCAGGTTGTTTGACTATTGTTAAAACACTGTCTCGCTGCGACTGTTCCCCTCCAACCCTTCTTAATCGTGTAACCTCTTCCCATTGGACAGCAATATACTGTTCATTTCCAACCCTACCCCCATTGTGAGACCTATACATTTGTTCACTTCCTCCTTCCACTTCATTCACCTTGAAGATGGCAACTGCAATTTATGCTAGAATGTTTATACATACACATCATTATCAAACGCTTAAGTAGTTTGTCATGACTTAGTTGTTCAATAGCCAGTTATAAAGGTCATTCATTGTTCTCTGTTTTAGGTCTGGCCTATTGTACCAGCCCCCAGATGATAGGTGAGGGTGATTGTGGAGCAATTGGTGGAATGAAGATTGGCATATATATATATACTATACATGAAATTACTGGGGATCATCAGAGTGGGTTTTGGCATCACAAATCAACAACTGATCAGATTTTTTTGCATTTGTCACATGCTGAAGAAAAAATGGGAGAACAATGAGACAGTACATCAGCTATTCCTACTCTTCAAGAGCCATTAGGCAAGTCCAGGAAAACCAGGTGGGACTGAAATTAAATGGGACACATCGGCTTCTGGTCTATGCTGATGATGTAAATCTACTGGGAGGTAACATATTGTAGCGTGTTTTGTGTGTCACGCTACAAATAAGTTCACGCCGTTCTTTGATATAGCGAGTTTATTCTTATCGCTCGCCTTACACACTCTTTACAATCATTTGCACTTGCAGTGTTACAATCACTGCTCACAATATTCGGCGAGACACTGGGCTCTCTTCTCCGAATGCTGATCCGAGACTTTCTTCTCCGGAGGTTTGATCACGGCTGGCCTCTTAGCTGGCCCGATGAAGACTGACGACTTCTCGTCGAAACTCGGCTTTTATAACCTTGGCCACTGTTAGGCAACGAACCCTTTGTTATAACCATGGAGACTCCTGTTAGAACTACAATGGAGCAATTGTTGTTTCCTATGCAACGGTCTATTCTAGTGTTTCCATAGAAGCGTCTCCTCTGGATTCCAGACACGTTACAATATATACCATAAAGAACAACACAGAAACTTTAATTGACGCTAGTAAGAAGGTTGGTTCAGAAGTAAATAGACCACTGTAGGTCATGGTGCAAGGGCCGAGGAGGCCTACCCCTCATACATTCATTAAAATACAGAGAAAACTAAGTAAATGTTGCTGTCTCATCACTAGAAGGTAGGGCAAAATCATGATATAAAGACAGCTACCAGATCCTTTGAAAATGTAGCACAGTTCAAATATGAGTACTTGGGCATGACAGTAACAAATCAAAATTTGATTATGAGGAAATTAAGAGCAGATTGAATTCAGCTAATGCTTGTTACCATTCCAACCAGAACCTTTTGTCTTTTCGTCTGCTGTCTAAAAACGTAAAAATTAGAATCTGCAAAACTACAATTTTGCCTGTGGTTATGTATGATTGTGAAACTTTGTCACTAAGATTCTAACATTAAGGAAGGAACACAGACTGAGGGTGTTTGAGAACAGGGTGCTGAGGAGAATATTTGGATGGAAGAGGGATGAGGTGTTTGAAGAAAACTGCATATTGAGGAGCTCCATAACTTGTACTCTTCACCAATTATAATTAGAATGATCGAGTCAAGGAGGATGAGGAGGGAAGGTCATGTAGCATGAATTGGGAGNATCAGCTATTCCTACTCTTCAAGAGCCATTAGGCAAGTCCAGGAAAACCAGGTGGGACTGAAATTAAATGGGACACATCGGCTTCTGGTCTATGCTGATGATGTAAATCTACTGGGAGGTAACATATTGTAGCGTGTTTTGTGTGTCACGCTACAAATAAGTTCACGCCGTTCTTTGATATAGCGAGTTTATTCTTATCGCTCGCCTTACACACTCTTTACAATCATTTGCACTTGCAGTGTTACAATCACTGCTCACAATATTCGGCGAGACACTGGGCTCTCTTCTCCGAATGCTGATCCGAGACTTTCTTCTCCGGAGGTTTGATCACGGCTGGCCTCTTAGCTGGCCCGATGAAGACTGACGACTTCTCGTCGAAACTCGGCTTTTATAACCTTGGCCACTGTTAGGCAACGAACCCTCTGTTATAACCATGGAGACTCCTGTTAGAACTACAATGGAGCAATTGTTGTTTCCTATGCAACGGTCTATTCTAGTGTTTCCATAGAAGCGTCTCCTCTGGATTCCAGACACGTTACAATATATACCATAAAGAACAACACAGAAACTTTAATTGACGCTAGTAAGAAGGTTGGTTCAGAAGTAAATAGACCACTGTAGGTCATGGTGCAAGGGCCGAGGAGGCCTACCCCTCATACATTCATTAAAATACAGAGAAAACTAAGTAAATGTTGCTGTCTCATCACTAGAAGGTAGGGCAAAATCATGATATAAAGACAGCTACCAGATCCTTTGAAAATGTAGCACAGTTCAAATATGAGTACTTGGGCATGACAGTAACAAATCAAAATTTGATTATGAGGAAATTAAGAGCAGATTGAATTCAGCTAATGCTTGTTACCATTCCAACCAGAACCTTTTGTCTTTTCGTCTGCTGTCTAAAAACGTAAAAATTAGAATCTGCAAAACTACAATTTTGCCTGTGGTTATGTATGATTGTGAAACTTTGTCACTAAGATTCTAACATTAAGGAAGGAACACAGACTGAGGGTGTTTGAGAACAGGGTGCTGAGGAGAATATTTGGATGGAAGAGGGATGAGGTGTTTGAAGAAAACTGCATATTGAGGAGCTCCATAACTTGTACTCTTCACCAATTATAATTAGAATGATCGAGTCAAGGAGGATGAGGAGGGAAGGTCATGTAGCATGAATTGGGAGAAGTAGAATGCACATAGGGTGGAAGGAAAGAGACCACTAGGCAAACTAAGATGTATGTGGGTGGATAATACTGAAATAGATTTTGGAGAGATGGGATAGGGTGGTATGGACTGGATTGATCTGGCTCAGGATAGGGACCAGTGGAGGGCTCTTGTGAACACAGTAATGAACCTTCGTGTTCCACAAAATATTGGGAAGTTCTTGAGCTTCTCAAGAAGGGCTCAGCTCCATAGTACTCATCTGGCCCGACAGAAAGCAAGAAATAGTATAATTAAATTCTCATTTAACAAAAATTTCCATTCTACAAAATAAAATACATACCTACAAAATAGCCTGAAATGCAAAGGGTTCAAATTACTGAGCCTTTTACTGCATTTCCTACATTGTCATACAGGTTGAAAATGTCCAAAAACATACTGACAACATCAGTCTATACAACCGTTTATATGCATGGAAATAAATTTGTTTAAACTGAGAAAGTCTTTCAATCTTGTATTGTTTATAATACACAATAGCCTTTAGTTTGATAAAAAATGAAGTCACCATTGAAAAAGGGTACATGAAGTCATGGTCTCTAAGACCAAAGATGGCTTCATGGAAAGTGTAGGTTACTCTTGTCCTTTACCAAAGCTGGAATGGGTCAAGAGATTTTAGTAAAAGTCTACATCAGAATTCATGAAAGATCTTAATAGGTAATCCCCAGGGTTGTAAAAGCACATGGACATGCTTTATTTATATCCTTAAGCCCATTTTAAAGATTAAACATCTGTACACAAAATTAATTATATTTATTATAATTTAGTGAAAGAACAATAATGTAACACAAAATTCATAACATGAAATTATATCTGACATTAAGAAAAGTTATTCCTGTATATATGGTCAACTGAGTAGTACAGCATATAATATTCCTAAACTGATTACTGAACCATTTTAAAATGGTTTTGCTACATTAGTAGTAAAAGATCTTCTGTCCATCACTGCTTAAAGAAAACTGCCTGTTTATAATTCCAATAATCTAGAAGTTCACTTCACCTTTATTCCCATAAGTTTCATTCACATTAGATGGTCAATTGTTCCATATTCCCCAAATCTGATAACCTTTTTAATGATTTCACTGCAATATCTGTATCCTATTTATTCTCATTCGCTTCTTTCTTTACTGATGGTTGAAACTTTGTGCGGTGATATGTCAAATGTCCGCTGTGATTTTCTTGTTGATATATTATAACCAACTGTATTCGAAGAGATATTCTTACCACTGTTATTGTCTAACACTTGTGTCATGTTACTGTTAATGCCAGACTTGTTAACTACTCTTACACCACTGTATTCACCCATATTTGTTCTCACAAACATCAGTTTTGGTAGAACTTTAGTGGGTGAACTTTCTCCACTATAATTTCCCTTATCCAACACCAATTTCACATCACGCATACGATCTTCTTGTTTTCGCTTCATTCCTTTACGATCCTCTCCATCCCTCCTAGGATCCAGACACCTATCAGAGAGATCATAAATGAAGTCCTCTTTTTCAACCTTTATCCTATTTCGCACTGGCCTTTGTCTTCGCTCAGTTTCAAGTATAGGGCTTATACTGTTGCTGAGTTTATTTTGTTGACCATTCCCACCCTCACCCTTTGCACTTAAAGTTTGTTCCATTACTACAGAAGCTCCGTCATCTGAAGTTAACACTGGAGATGCCGCTGAACTATTGGTGGTCAGCGGAGATGTAGAATCACAGCTAACAGATTCAACTATATCATATGGCTCAGGAGATGAGGCTGATCCTCCCGACTGATCATGATCACCATTCATTGCCATGGCGAATATATTCTGTGCAGCTTCAACATCGCGGTTCATGTTACTGTTTCCTGAACCAAAAATCACCTCTAAAACCATTTTTCTTAATGCAGTCTGCTCTTGTGCTTGTGTCTCAGACAGACTATCAACTTGCAGTGTACTGCCTTCTACAGATGTTTGTACTGGATCACTGTGCATATCTGGTTCAGATTCCATGTCTATCATCTTAGGTTTAAGTGCAGCATTTTCTTCAAAATCTGAAAAATTAAAATGTGATTAAATCGGTTGCCGTAAATTTGCTTTTAAAAATAAAGTACAATCATTTATAACTTGCTATCAAAAAGAAATAATCACCAAAAAAACTCTTTTTCTGTGATTATACAAAGAACTTTACAAGATGTTTCTGTAGACAATAATCAGGTGACGTACAGCAGAATTGCTGATATTTACCATGACTAAAAACATTTAATTGCTGACAAAACAACTAAAGCTACATACACAACTGAAACTAAGTGCGTTAAGCTATACATACCCCTCGGTTTGCAACACTGTGATACTACAGTACTATAAGTTATTGCCTCTTACCTAGTACTGCTACATTCCTGGTGCTCTGCTGATATTCTGTGGTTGTCAACATTTTCTTTGAAGGTACAGCTTCAGGTTCTTCATGCTCCAAATCTTCAGTACTCATGCAGCATCTCTTGAGTCCCAATCTAACTGGTGATGTGGATATGATAGGTTCTCTTGCTTCCTCTGCTTGCAAAATAATTGCTGTGTCCTTGACAAGTGTCTCATCTACATTTCCACTTTTCATCTCGATTGTTTCTGCACTGTTGGCAGTACTTCCAGTTGTAATCAAAGGGCCTTGCTTAATAGGCATGTCTACTACAACATCATTTGCCCTTTCTCCTTCCATGCCACATGCATATAAATCATTATCCTCAGCATCTTTCAATTTCATCACTAAATTCTGAATATCATTTGGAACAGCTTCAATACCCATGTCATAATCAGAAGTACTAGTAATTGTTTTGCCTTCATCACATTCTTGCAGTGACCAGTCAGATATTTCATTGCAAGTTGTGTCATTTACTGTGATTTCTACATCTTCTGGAACAGGAATACATTTGTTACTCAGGTTGATATCACATAACATGTTCTGACCATTTTCTTCACTATGGCTTCTGTATGTTTCTTCTGTAGGCTCACAATTACTTAAATCATTTTCTATGTCATTGGTCTCAGTTTCAATATATTCCACCATGGACTGTGCCTTATCATGTTCCCCTTTCTCTAGATGTATTTTAATAACATGTGCAACACAGTCATATTTGGAGAAACACTTAAATGCACATTCAGTGCAGCGGTAACGATTCCAACCTATGTGAACTGCAACATGCCTCCGCAGATTTGTCAGTTTGTTAAACTTCTTTTGACATGGCAAACATTGCAGACGACGTATATTAATAATGCTTCGCATTCTGTTCTCCATTGCTGAAGACAGCTGTTCATCTTTCTTGGTGTTAGCTGCAGGAACTAATACATTCTCCTGCTCATTCCCTACAGTCTTGATTTCACTATCTTCACTCAGTGCAGTAGAGCTTACGGAGTCCCATCTTATTCCTTCATCACTTGCTGTGTCCATACCTATATTCTGTTTTTCATTGATTCTCATAAGAATGCCTGTATTTTTAATTTTTGTAACATCTGAACTCTCTTGACTCTGATTGCCATTCTTGTCCAAACAAGCATCTTGCACTGACTGTATGGAAGATCCATCATGATTTATGCTTCTCACTGCTGGAACAAGACAGATATGAGAAGCATCAGTGCTTTCTTCTTCCCTTTTTATGGTCTCTTTTTCAATAATTTGTGTACAGCTACATGCATTTATTCCAACACTTCCATCTATCTTACCAGAGAACAGATGAGGGCCCTTCTCAGAGAAACATGTGTCAGATTCTGTTGACTGATACAACCCACTGTGACCTTCACAGTCTTCCGTGAAACTATTACTGACTTCGTCATGGTTATTTCCTTCTCCTGTATCATCACAAGACAGCTGATTTTCATTTGTTTCTGAATTACAGTCCTGCTGCTGAGATGAGGGGCCCCCTATCCCCAAAACAGGACTCACAGTTCCAGCCCCTATCCCTGTCTTACAATAGTCCCTCCTTATCTGAATCTCAATTCTTTTCTCAGGAGTATCTTTCTTTACAGTGTCAGACCGAGTGCCACTGCAGTGCCGAGTTCGGTGGTATGAAGCACTGGGAGCTGTGGCAAGCAGTGGGTTCGAAATGTCAAGAGACACAGGAGAAGGAGAAGTGGTTACTACACTCTTTATTCCACTTGCAGTTGATTGCATACTTTCTGACAGTACTGATAAAGGCATCAACCTACTTGTGTTGCTTTCAACACATGTAACATCGTTCTTGGTAGTTTCTGTATGTAGACGAGGCTGCTGCTCTGTTGATGTTGGCAATATTTTTGTGTTGGTTATTCGGCTGCTAGTAGTGGCTGATGTAGGGGGACAAGGTCGACGCGCCTTGATGTTGTTCTGCACAGCAATTCGTTTCTGGCAAATCTGAGAATGTGAACTGAGTGCTGCACGCCTCTCAAACCGACGCCCACAACCTCCACACATTTGCAATTCAAGATCATCCTCAAAATTATTCATCCAATCCTATAAAGAAACAAAATAATGGTTATGTTACTTGCAGATACTGTATTTAAAGGTCATTTCTTTTGCATGTGTATATGTACACATATACATAAACACATGTTAGTTCCTATGTGATGAAATGTGAAAGCTTAGGAATTACATTCTAATTGAAGTTATTGTATAATGTATAAGGGGTGGGCTTTCTTGGCCCTTGCACCATGACCTACAGTGGTCTGTTGTGCTTAATTTAAGTTATTAAACCATCATCTCATGTGTAACTTCAGCTTTTGGGGGTTTGACACATTGTGGTGAATTCACCCTGAAGATGGCAACAGCAATGCATGTTAAAGCAATGGAACAGATTCAACATAATGCAGTTAAACCTTACATGCCAAAGTTACACATTACACAGAGATTGTGGAAACCAACAGACAACGATAATTCAAAACTGTCTGCTGCTACTGCAAAAAGCGCAATAAATCTGCACTGACCCCTTCTTGTCAACAAAAATGTATTCCTGCAACATTGTGATCATGAATAAATAAATAAATCAAATATTTATTCATGTGCAAGAACCTAATCCTCATTTCTTTCCTCATAACCTTGTAACCTCATCATCTTTCCCTCCACACCATATTTTTTGTTTATTTCTAGTGGGGTGGGACTAAGTCCCTTGTACTGCAGCCACTTCTGGCCTATTGTACCAGCCCCAGATGATAGGTGAGGGTGATTGTGGAACAACTGGTGGAATGAAGATTGGCAGGGGAAACCGAAGTACTCGGAGAAAACCTGTCCCAGCACCACTTTGTCCACCACAAATCCAACTTGACCAAACACAGGATTGAACCCGGGCTGCTACGGTGGGAAGCCAGCAACTAACTGCTTGAGCTATGGTGCAGCCTCACCACACCACAAGTCACCACATTCATAACATTTATACCTACAAAAGCCCAGGTTAACAACAATAATCATTTTGAATTATATGGATCACACAAGAAACTTTTAGATTACCATCAAACTGAACAATACACATAGGTTATGTGCTGTTGCCAAGTTGTCTTCAGGTATATTAAAAAAAAATATCTTAACACCACTTGCATATTTTTCACACGTGACCATGCAATATTTCAATTCCAGAAGTGCATGGAACTAGTCCTTTAAAATTTGTTGTTATTCTTGATGGTAAGTAAATAAAAAAGTATGAAGAGTGTTATAGGGGCACGCACTAGCATGGTTGAGGCACTATGCTACAAGTCAGAAAGTTGTGGATTCGATACCCAATGAGGTAAACGAATCTTTCAACTGACCTAATCCTTCCAGCTGCAGTTTGGCCTTGGGGTCAACTCAGTCTCTAACAGAAATGAGTACTGGGAATCTTCCTGGGGATAAGGGCAGCCAGTGCATAAGGCAGACAACCTCACCGCCATCTGTGAACCAACTGTCTAGAAAAATGTGCGAGTCTCGATGCCTCATCCCTATGGGGCTCCATGGCCTATTACAGGAATAGCTTTACTTTTACCTTCTACGAAAGGTGTTATGTTCAACACAGAGTTTTGCTGACACTGACCAACTATTTTGCAATTGATTATGGTTGATTATAAACATATACGATATCAACTATACTCATTTTATGAAATATGGTATTCCATCACTTCTGTGTGGCTGTGAAATCTGGATGCTAAAACAAAGGGACTTATAGATGACGCTGGCAAAATTCATGACACATACAACAGGGTACTGTTTATTAGATCACAGAAGAAATGGAGACATTTTGGTAGAAATGAACATAAAACTGGGAGGTTATTAAGATTACTACACTGTAGGGATGTGATGCCATACTGTCTGGCAGAAGTTCAGCAACATTTCAGAGGACTGTGCTGCTTCCATCTTCAAGGATGAAGTTAGCAAAAAAGCAAGCACATGTTTACTGCTGTTAAAACCTTCAATATCACATGGCTAGATCATGTGAGGATGAAGGCCTGAATAACCTATTATAGTCCCAAGGCCAAGATAGGTTAATTTATTTATGAGCCTCTCAGACAATGTCATTTGCACAGAATGTGTGCAGGAGGAACCCTTCTACCACTTACTATGTCAATGCCCATCTCTGGCTGGGCACAGAATTAACATCTTTGGCTCTGCATGGGCAGAGTCAAGAGATACTAGCAGGGTCTCAATCAATCTACTGGAGGCCCCTAGCAAGAACAGGAGCATGCAATGAACTCAGCAGAGGTCTCAGTGCTTGGGTATGACCAGAGTTGTTCCTCCCATGTCAATAGTCTGTAAGTCATTTACTGGCATAACTTCAACTTCAACACCAGAAGGAGTTAAAATATAACAAAGATCATATGGAAAAGGTCAAACTGTTTGCAGCATATGTAGAAAATGTAAAAGAAGAAGAAGAAAACAGATGATCTAGTGAGCATTTCTGAGATATCTGATTCCTGATATACTGTATACACATCTAACAAAGTCTGAAGTTTTTTTATGATTAAAATACTTTCTGCTATACTATATGGATGACAACCTCATACTGAGTTTTTCCTGTGTATTTGTGTGTACATAGGAGGCCTCACATTAATAATTATAATGATGCAATAATTTACTGCTACATATAAAACTCTGCAATATTGTGTACTGTCAACATTAACCGAGTGCCTACTTACTCGCCTATCTTGGACAAAGTGTGAATTTCTGATTTAGTTTGATCTGTTGGGCTATATTAATACACAAAGTATAAACATTTGGGCTGCTGCAAATCCAATTTCATCATGAAGAGTTCAAGCTTCTGGGGCATAATGCCATAATGTCCATTTAAGTCAACTGACGTTTTGGTGAGAACGTCACCCCCATTTTCAGGGTCGAAGAATAAGCCAAGCAAGAAACCAGCAGAAGTTCATAGTAAGCAGAGATGGAGGTGACATGTTCTTCTGAAACATGAACTGACTTTTTAACTGACTACACAGTGTAATATCCCAGAAGATAGAACCCTTCATAACCACAAGTGTGAGAACCTCAAATCCTACATCTTCTGTAACTGAGTTACTTTACATGTACCAGGTGTGAATGTTTTCGCCAAGTTTCATGTTCATCAGTAACTTATTGCATGATTCATAATTATTACTTTTGGGCCTGCTCCAAGTGAACACCATGTATGACATGAAGTAGAAGTTAGCAAACATTAGCAATTACTACAGTAGATTTATATTTTAAATAGATTAAAATAGAACTCTTTAGTTTGTATGTTCATGGTATTGTATAATATCTGATACTGTCAGCTAATAACTCCTACCATTCATGTTCTAGATTCTGTTTATTATAAGTTACATGTTTCAAATGAAGTTAATGGTTGTCTTTAAAAAGTACTCTATGCTGATATCATCAGTGTTCACTACAATAACAGTATGGGTCAATTTAAAAATACCTATGCTCTGAAGCTTTCACAGCAACAGTATACCATGGAGTCTTCTTGAGTGATAAGCTGTATACATGTGGACCCAGAGACTGTTTGTCTCCCCACCATCAGGAGATGATGTGATCAGTGAGTGCTGTGTTTGCATGCTGTATTCATACAAAGTTATACCATTGTGGGATAAAACCAGAAGATACATAAGCTAGTAGATCCTCTAAAAATGTGGCACAATCCAGATATTTGGAAACATCACTAACAAATCAACACTGTATTCATGAACAAATTAAGACCATACTAATTGTGGGGAATGTCTGCTTACCATTCGATAGAGAATCTTTTGCCTTGCTGTCTGTTATCTAAAATGTAAAGCAAAAAGTCACAAAACTATAATTCTACCTATTGTTTTGTCTAGGTGTGAAACTGTCTCTCATATAAAGGGAAGAACATAGACTGTGGGTGTCTGAGAATATACAGACCAAAAAATTGTGGAAGCAAGAGAAAGCTGGAGAAAAATGCATGACGAGGAGCCACATATTAGGATGATCAGATCAAGGAAGGTGAGATGGGTGTCACACAAAGCACACAGGAGAGAAAAAAAAATGCATAAAACATTTTGGTGGGAAAACCCAAAGGAAAAAAGACTACTTGTAAGCACTTAGGCCTGGATTGGAGGATAACATTAAAATGGATCTTAAATCTAGGCTAGGGGGGTGTGGATTGGATACATTGACTCAGGATAGGGACAACTAGCAGGCTGTTGTGACTATGGTAATAAGCCTTTGCGTTTTGGAAATGATGGGCACATGACTAGTTGAGACACAGCTGGCTTGTTAATAAGGACTTTGCTCAAAGGAGTTAGTTAAATGAATTACTTATTCACCAATGAAAATTAAACGAAGCATGAAATCAAAGGAATTACAAAAATTAGCAAAAATTCCAAATGTCAAGTTACATGATCACTGAAAATGCAAGGATCATGTAAGTCAGGGAATACCTATACAGTATCTTAGTCTTCACAGATTCAGTCTCAGTGCTTCTGATTAGGCCCTGCATGTCCCTGTTTGTGTACCTCACTGTCTCTTTCTCCTTCTCTTTGGTTCACTTAATTCATGGAGTCTGGATGGTTCAGTCCGCATACTGATTAGATTCTAGGCTGCACAACCAAGAGACTGGGGTTCCATTCCCAGTGGGACCAAATGACTTTTCTCCACTCGACACTGTCCAGATCAACTCAGTAGCTCACTCAAGCTCGTACCCAATGGGTAAACGGGTACCAGGGTTTCTTTCTCCAGGAGTAAGTGGCTTGGGACTTCAAGCTGACCAGCCACTTCCATCTAGTGCTCAAGTTACAATGTGTGGAGTTATTCCCCCACTTCTCCATATGTTTTTATGGCATGGTGTGTAATTAAATGCAGGGAGAACTTTACTTTCACTTTACTTTATACAGACCTGATTCTCCTGGTGAAGCCTTTGTTGTTCCTCGCGTGCTCTATCAGCTTCACTCTGTACAGCGGCACCAGTTGATTTTACACTTGAGTTCTGACTTTCATAATCAGAAACTTCTTTTCTAAATGCTTTATTAACAATCTGGGAACGCAGTTTCCGCACCTGAATGGCCGTCTTGCGATGCACTGTAATATTATGTGACATTTATAATCAACACTGAACAACTGACAATCTTGTTTAGCTGACTGGTACAATCAACTTTTTAAGTTCTAGTATTTTCTGCCTATATTATAATGGTCTCAAAGTTATCAGTCACTGTGTACTATATACCTATCTACAAATCAACCTTAATCTTTTAATTACTTCAGTATGCTCATTTATTATAAGGGCTGAAAATGTTTTGTTTCAGCATTTCATTTCAGTTAAAATTCTCAGTAGGTGTCTACGACTTGAGGAAGGTTTTACACTGAAACTTTCTTTATCTGGCAAATTGTTAATGTGATAAACACTGTTTTTCTATAATTTTAAGTGAAGAAGTGGATCTGTAATTTTAGACTTTGCTTTAATTAGGTTCCCCAATTAAATAAGATCTTGCTAAAGGGACTGCCAGCTTGAGGATGGATGTGAACAAACCTTTGGTATTATGCAATGTACATTATATAAAAATTCCCTGTATTTAAGATTTTAAATATTATTTAAAGATGTTACAGTAATATTCCTGCCCATAATATTTCAGTCACGATGTCCTGCATTTAAAGTTCAAACTTGACTGTACCATTCCATTTTCTTAGTGTTAAATTTGTCCAGAGTTTCATGTTCAAATCTTCTGGTCACAACAGAAACATAAAATTGGAATTTTACTAGACATTTTTAACATGGCTACAAGAAGTACAACTTAAAATGATCTTCTGATATTTGAAGTTCTCACAGTGGTGAATATGAAGACAGTATTCAGAAAATGATCCTGATGAACAAGGAAGACCGTATAATAACTTATTTAAAATATGCAGACATATCCATCAAACAATTCAGATTAACTGGAGGTTAGGCATTTTAAGAAATGTTATTTATAGTCGGTATAGCGACTGGCTTTGGGCTGGACAATTGAGGAGCCTGAGTTCAAGCCCCAGTAGGGTCAAGAATTTTCAGTTCTCCATGTTGCCCAGACCGGCTCTGGGGTCTACCCAACATCCTATCCAATGGGTACCCAGAGCTCCTTCCCCTGGGGTAAAGCGGCCGGGTCGTGAAGCTGACCACTCACCTCCAGCTAGTGCCAAGGTCAAGAAAGTGTGGATTTATACATCCACTCTCTCATACACATTCCTGGTGTAGTGCTTAATTAGTTACGCACAGCAACAACTTTACCCTATGTTGAGATTTTTTAGAGTGAAAGAATGGTGTTGGGCTTAAACATTTTACTGTCATTAAATCAAAATTAGTCCAGAGTCCTATCTTCTGGGATGTAATGTTGTGTAGTCTGGTAAAAGACAACCCATGATTTTGAGGAACATGTTCCCTCCGTCTTCAAGGCTGAAGAGTCAGCCCATCAAGAAACCAGGAAACAAGCAAAACTCTGTCTGTTGCCTACTTTCTGCTAGATTCTTGCTGGGCTTACTCCTCTACCCTCAACATGTTCCTTTGAAACATCCATTGACTTTCACTGGACTACACAGCATTATATCCCAGAAGACAGAACTCTTCATAACCACTGCTGTGAAAACCTCAAATCTTATAAAAGTAGTCTAATGTAATTTTCATCAATCTGTAAAGGGTGAAAAATTGAGAATGAACAGAAGGTAAAGAGACAGAGAAAGTTGAAACAGCAAGTACTGTGATACTCTGGTTTTAAGATTTACCTTTGTATAGATGTCTATACACACTCCATGTATTACAAAAAGTGTTCTTACAGCATGGACAAGGATAACACAGTCGGAATGTCACATGAAGGTACTTCATATGATGATTCAGTGTCTTCCGTGTAGCAAATCTAGTATTGCCTGCAAACAAATTTGAGTAAACTGAAAGTGAAAACATGGATTTGACCTACAGGACTGGCAATTTCTGCTAAGAATTATTAATACAGACAACCATACATGGTACTGGGATTTTAGTCAGTTAATGCTATGTTTTATAAGACAAATATATTTCAAAACACTCTTTAAAACTAAACCTTTTCTTTCAAAACATTAACTCACAGCTCAGTTTTGTATCTTGTACCTAATATGTATGCATGCATCCCAAATAAGACTCAACCAAAGGCTAAATTTTCAGTCACAGTGGGGCTACATTATATTGAAATTGCAGTCTCCTGGGATTTAGTAGATGGTGCCCAATGTTTTGAAGGCACTTGGTGTCTCTATCTTCTTCTACCCTGAAGATGAAGGCAACAGGTTTCTCTAAGATGTTGGTTTCCATCCACCAGACTATATGGTGTCACATTCCAGAAGACTGCAATCTGAACATTCACCACTCTAAGAACCTCAGAACTCATTCAGTGATATCTATGGGGAGGATAATCTGTCAGTGAATCTCAAACTTCTGCAGCTTGTCCTCCACCAATCATTTAAAAAAGAAAAAAAGTAGTCCCAGAACGCTGGGAAAAATGTGTGCAAAGAAGTGGTGATTATGTGGAAAAATAAAGAAAGGTCTGTAGATTGAGGTGGTGTATTTGGTTTGTCAATAATAAAGCTTGTTACTTTACAAAAAATTGTTGCTCATGACGTTCACTATGACCTACATATAAACTCGATATAAAGTCTTATTCAGATCTGACACATATTTGTGTTAACGTAATTAAAATTAATATAAGAACGACCAAGGAAACACTGGAAAGGGGATTTTAATGTGCCGAATCCATAAAGACAACATGAAGGAGTTAAAAAGATTGCAATTTGCCAATTATCAGAGAATTCTCCAAAAACTTACATATTGTGCAAACATGATTCTTGGAAGAGCCTATTTTATTATTTTGTGCACTGTCTTGTTTTCTGACTGCTACAGCTCCATTTTCATTTGTGTTCGCAGCATTAGGAAGGAGTGTTGTACCCTCACAATTCAACATTTCTATCTGTCCATCGGGACCCAGAGTTGCTTCATTACAAGACATCATGTTATGAAGTTCCACTACCTGTAAGGAATACATTGCACATTCTCAGTGAATATTAAAGATTATGTACTTGGGCTCAGTGAAAGGCCAAGAAGCTCATGAGTATGACTGGACATTTCAAGGCAGTTTTACATTTCTGGGCAGTTAAATAAGATTCCAGAGCCACAAAGTATGTCACTTAAAGGTCTAATATACTTAATCCTTAACGTGGCATTTGTGCACACTGTCTTCTCCACAACCACCAGTTTGAAAGAGATGAAAGAATGATTAATTTTCAAGAAATGAAGGATTCTGTCAATAACTGTGTAGTGTTGAATATCACCTTATGGGGAAGGGATAAATATTAGCCAGATACAATTTTTTGTTAACCGGAAATCATGCAAGAAAAATTTACGCATGAAAAGTCAAATATGCCAGAGTTTTAAGATAGTGGCAACAGTTTAGCAAGTGTTTTCCTGTAGGGTGACAATAGTCACATAGTGCCATCTGATCCTATAGTTTTGGAGTACTAACACAGCAATTTTTCAAATGTGCATATAAGAGATACACACTTAAGAAATGTTAACAAACTCAACAAATGCAATGGACCTGAAGGACTAAAGCCTCTGAACTAATGCAGTGTAATCCAACCTAAAAAAAACAACTAAAGGTAAAGCTAGGCCTGTAACAGGCCATCAAGGCCCATAGGGATGTGGGCGGTCAAGGCTCCCACACTTTCTGGACACCGGCCACTCATAATTATTCTTCATATTAACGTTACTGCTTTCAGTCTATTAAGACTAAGAAAATAGTAATGTTTAGTCTTCTCTAATAATCCCCTATCTTTCTACTTGCAACTGTATAACCTCACTAATCTTTGTGAATAACAACATTATATAATTCATATACCTGTTTCATTAGTGTTTATTTTTGCCCTATTAACACTTAACCTAAATCTGTATTGATATACTTTAAATAAGTAATCAAAACTTGGCCTGAAACTGTCAAGCACAGTACACAATCCACAAGACCTGTACATAATTCCTGCATTAAAAACATCTGCATGTAATGTATACATAAATTAAAATTCTGGACTTTGCCAGCACACTGTTTAAAAAGAAATAGACTATTCTTGGGTCCCTGAAACATGCAACACATTTATTTATGAAGAACAAAACAAGAGGCTGTAATATAATAATTAATATTTATTTTGATTAACTGGCAATACTAGCATAGATAGTCTATGAGAAGCCGAAGAAGTAGAAGCACCGGCCTCCCTGGCATGAATGGAAAGTGAGAGACAGGACAGGATCAACAAACGCTGTACCATGGAGCTGCTCAGGACAAGCACCCTTGAAGGAGGGGGGCGGATATAGTGCTCGGAAGATGGGAAACACTGTTAAGCTGTTCGAGACAAACCACCTTAAGAAGAGAGCAATGTGGCATGCCACCAAAAAGGACAGAAGACATGTCCATTGACAAGCAACGGCTGTGATAAGAATGTATACTTCAGTGGTAACCCAATACCAGCAGATCGTTGCATAGGAATAGCCCAAACAACAAATACGTTTCCCTGGAAATGGAAGGATATCCATGGAAATGAATACTAGCAGTGGTTAAAACGGAACCCTTCAACACGATGTTTATCAGTCAGTCCGAGCGCACATTATAAAAGCCCAGCTTCGATGAGACCAGTCAGTTTTTAGTGTAGCTCCGACTAGAGCAGAAGCAAGCTCGGATCCGACAAAGGACAGAAGACACTTCACCAAGATCAGTGGTGCAAGTAACTGTGATAGTGAAGTTGTGAATAATTGTGCTTGTGAGTGCAAAAGAGAATGTCCAATAAACGTCTTAGCCAAATCCGAGACCCGCGTGAATTTACTTGCCGCCTTACATAGGTAACACGCACACACGCATGCACACTCATTCACAGTGAAAGTGATCAAAATAGGGCAGTTGGGATGGCTGAGACACCTTTTTTTTTAATCCAGGAGCAGCACCAGGAAGTTAACTACACATAAACCAGTGAGTACTTCACAAGTAGGCAGACCTGCTATCAGGTGGCTGGATTCAGCTGAAGATTTGAAGACAATGGGCATTAGAAATTGGAGATGAAAGCCACAGCATCAGGACAAATGCAGAGCAATCACACAAGAGGTCAAAGTTCATCATGGACTGTAGCTCACATGGTGGTGGTGGTGGTGGCGGCGGTGTAATGTTAACAATGATGATGATGATGATGATGATGATGATTTAATTCAATTCAATTGATGTTTATTTACATGCAAACTTAACAGCACAGAGGTCAATTACAAGGTCAGCATGAGTACATAGAAATACACAAAATAATTAAAAAATAAAATACAAAATTTGAGAGTCTATATAATGGCAATAAATTAAGAATTCCAAGAAAAATTAAATTTAACGTTAACAGGAGAGAAAAATAAACACTAACCTTTAAGCTACGGGCATTTAATTTCCGGTAAGGGCACCGGTACGGAATAAAAATACCCACGATTATAAAGCCATAAAAACTGTAATCATTTACTAAATTTGCTATTTCTGCAATTTCTGTGATAAACGAACGAAATAAACGCTGCTTTTTTCTCGAAAGAATATAGAATCAGATATTGTAATTTACAGATTGTATAAAACATGTTAAAATTTTTACACTGACTCCAAATAAGAAATTCCCCAGTTTTTTAGTTTCTCTACAAGAATTAATAGAGTTCTCGGTAAGTATGAATGCAGGCTGGTGGGTGACATCACTTGACAGCTATGGCAACACAGCGGATGTTGTGTCTAAAGCTTCTCAGTGTCTAAATCACGTAGTTCTTTCGGTA